TCTCCCCAACTAGCGTGGGATATCACAGATAATGTGCATCAATTTTTGTTATATACCGTAATAACAACGAAACCGTTAGAGGTATATGTTTAGACACTAAAATTCAATAATAGCTAATTATTTTATGATACATAGTTTGGAGCTTAGATTTGATTCAAAAATGTTGGCTTGAAAAATTGAAACTACTACGGCTAATTTTGTTTTTATAGCATGTGACAGAAAATGAATTAGTGATTTAATGGATATTTAATTCAAACTATATGATTGAAACTATGAACAAAATATCATCAATTTCTTCGATTTAAATTCTAAACTTTATTATAAGACGGAGATTTATGTAATTTGAAGAGAATCAAATAAATAGTAACGGTTTTTTTTTTCTCTTTTTTAATTTTTGCTGAAATATGAGCCCGTGAAATTAGGGTACGTTGTTGTTATTATTATTTTAATTTTCGATAAGCATTTGATCTTCCCCTCCCCTAATTCTCCATTGAGGTTTAGGTATGGTTTCTCGTCTCTATTTCCACGACTACCGTTGCGTATAAGGCTCTTTGTTGTCACGAACCGACAATAGGAGGTTCACCCGAGCGAGTGGCAAAGGATGAAGTACATTAGCCATCATCGTAAGACGGTTAGAGACGAAACGGAAACAACAAGAGAAAGAGAGTGAAAAAAAAAAAACCCGAAGAAATTGAACGAAGAAGAAGAAACTCGCTGATCTAAAATATTTTTATTAATTTAGTAAAAATCAATGTAAGCATAACTCAACTAGTTAAAATATATCCTCTCAATTAAGTCAATGTAAATGTGAATATATATAAATTTAAAAAAATTAAATTAAAAAATGTATGTTATCATGAATATAGCTCAATTTATTAGATATAATTTATATTTTTTAATTAAAAAATGAATTTATAAAAAAATTAGGAGTATATAAGAAAGAGAGCTTCAATACTCCCACCGTATTTCCACCCAATTTCATTTTTCTAGAGAGAGAGAGAGAGAGCAGACTAAACCTTGAAGTTCATCCATGGAGTCCGAATCTTCAACGTAATTCACAATTTCTCAATTTATTTTATTTATTTTTATTTAAAGTTTTAAATGTTTTCAATTTCCGGCAACCCCAAATTCTTCTTTTTTGCTGTGCAGATTCGAGAGTTGTGAAATTATGGCGGCTCTTTTGGGTTCCAGTCCTCTGCTTCTGCAGTCATGGAAGCTCTGCGCCGCCGCCAACGCCGCCGCGCCGGAGACTTTCTCGGTGGAGGTTATTGGAGATGTGGCTTTTGTTGCCTTCTCCGCTGTCCAAATTCTGCCGGGCTCTGGCGGCGGAAGAGAGCTAGTGGCGTTGGAAGGTGACGCTGAGGAGCTGTTTTGGCCGTTGAATCGCCACCGTGAAGAGCTCCGGGCACCGGCCATGGCGGATTCCGGCATCCTCAAAATCTTTATGAGTATTTTTACTCATCAGAATCTTCTTGAAAAGGTTCAATCTCTCTCTCTCCCTCTCTCCCTCTCTCTCTATATATATATATACAATTTTAACCAAAAAGTAATAATTTTTAGGTAATTTTGAATTTGGTCTTTTTTTTTATTATTATTATTTCTTATTTTCATTCTTTTTAGATATATATTTTTTCTATTTTTATTTTTTGGTTCAGCTAATTATTTAAAATAATAATATATATTTTTTTTTTTTTTTGTCGGGACGAAATTTCTTAGAAATTTTCTTGAAAAAAATAACCATATTAGTTTTATAAATAAAATAACAATAATAATAATAAAAGTGCTAAAATGTAATAAAATTTAAAATAGTATTTTAATTCTCAACTTATATCCTAAATGTTGATAAAAAAAAGTATTTTAACGTTAAATTATTAATTTATTTATGCATAACTATATTTTGAATTATGAAATTTTATGGGGATTTGGGGGTGTGGTTGACTAAAGAGTGGGAAAGGGACTTTGGAAAGTCTTCCATTAAATTCACCAAAGGTTAAGTTTCTTTTATCCAAAATGATCTAAAAACTGGATTAACTTGGACTATTCAGTCGGATTGGGTTAGATTTTGGAAAATAAAAAATTAGGATCAGTGGATTGACATTTTTTTTGTCGGGTCAATCCAACCCAACTCTACTCTACCCTACGTTTAAGATTATTATGAAAATTAAAATTGTAACCGATGTTAATGGTATGTAAGTAAATAGTTATAAAAAAAAAAAAAAAAAAAAAAAAAAAAAAAAAAAAAAAAAAAAAAAAAAAAAAAAAAAAAAACAACCAAACAACCCGAAATAAAGGGGTGGATTAGGTTAGGTTGTGAATTCTATTCGAGTTGTTTGAGTCATCAACCCAACGAATGTGATCGGATTGGGTCAAATGATTTTTTTAATATAATTTGATAATGATTTCAATTTTGTTAATGGATGGCCTATTGTTGTTTATTTCAAACATCTTCACCAAATATTCAAAGCTTGTCTTTCTTTTTTTAAATTGACCATTGACTGCAAAACTAATTTAAAGAAGGGGTTGAAGAGGGAGAAAAAGGACAAATTAAAAAATAATATACAATTTGTATGATAAAATGAGGCTCACAAAATAGCCTTCAATAGTTATTTTTTTTTAGTTATTACCTAAATTTTTTAAATATTTATTTTTTTTGTAAATCCCTCAAATTACTTGTAAAAAAATTACTACTAATAATAATCATTTTAGGTAATACTTCTAAAAAAATAATATAAAAATAAAGAATCTAAATAAAATAAATCTAAATATTTAAAGTCTAAAATAATAATTTTTTACAAAATAATACAAATTCTTATAAGATTTCTAGTTGTTTTCACATACACATGTTCATATATTAACTACTAAATTTTCTATACAAACCGACACATGGAAACTATGTTCGTGTTTCATTCTCCCACTTTCTCCTTAGAGCACGTCGAGGCTTGGTTAAGAAAGAAATCAATGATTGATTGCAAAAGGTTGTGTATTTCTTTTCTTTTAATTAAATTGAATGGAAAAGAGATGGAGATTTAAAGGAAACTAAGTGAGATAGGGACATTTGAGCCATTCTTCAATCAAGTGGATGTTGACCTTTTGTTTTAATAATTGTATGATTCTTTCTTATTTTTTATTTTTTATTTTTTATGATGCTTTTTAATATCCAAAAATTTTATAAAACTATGAATAATAATAATAATATAAGTAAATAATTTCAATATTAATAATTAAAAACATAGTAATTCTTTTTTTTTTTTTTTTTTTT